GACTCCTGTACCCCACTGGTCTGGGTCTGTCACACTTGCTATAGTCATCTGCTTTCCCGGCCTCTTTTGTGTTTATGGGCTTTATCTGATGGTTTCAGGCAAGTGTCAAAGACATACACCTCTACCCCGATATAACACTGTCCTCGGGAGCCAAAAAATCTTACCGCGTTATAGGTGAAACTACGTTATATCGAACTTGCTTTGATCCGTCGGAGTGCGCAGCCCCGCCCCCCTGGAGCGCTGCTTTACCGCGTTATATCCGAATTTGTGTTATATCGGGTCGCGTTAGATCGGGGTAGAGGTGTACTATGTAATACAAAAAGTTATATGCTGAAGTTAATAATTAAGCTAGCTTCAAGGCAGTGGCAGTCTGTGTGACAGAATTATCTCAGTGAGAGTGATTTTTTTTAATAGCATTTTTGAGCTGGTTTGAAAATGGAAAATAAATTTGCAAACTTTTTTTTTGCAAATATTATTTTTTTCTGTTTTCCAGTATTGTCAACCCCCAACATTCAAAAATCATGTGTCAGCCCCTACTTGGTGCCAAATTCTGAGATGGGCTTAAAGATTTAAAAATAAGTTAAAAAAAGCCATTTTTAGGAATTTATTTGACTTTATGGTGGACTCAGGTCAAGTTTTCAAGATCTTCTCTGCAACTATGAGGGCTAGAAACTTACTTTTTGTTTTAAATGAAAGCTGAGCTTCTCATCTCATCACTGGTTTCAGTTAGCCTGGGCTCTAGTTAAAGGACCAAATGTCCAGGGACTTGTACAAAAATCACAAGAGTCATTAACATTGGTGTTTGGAGGAAATTTTGAAAAATTTCCAGCTGGCTTGACTGGGGTTTGCCCTTTCTGGGCAATGCATTTCTGTGAACAGGGTGCAAGTGATGCTTGGATGGGGCAGCAGTGTAGCCTTTGATATCTGGCAAAGATACACTGGTATGGTTAAGGAAATAGCTCGCACCTGCACTGACATGTAAGGTCCACCGACGTTGAGCAGGTGAAGATGGGATTTTAATATTTCAGATCTCTATCAAAAAATGTATCAGACTAACTGTCTTGCACTGATTTCTTTTTATTCACAGGTGCTAGCGAGTAGATGATGGCTGTAACATAGTAAAAAGAATGGCAAACACTTTATTTAGAGGGATCATTCATTTGCAAGGCTATGGCCATTCACTTCAATTAGCAACAGTTTTCTAGCGCAGTCCCCAAAGATGTAACACCATCTTGATTTCTTAGGCACAGGCAGGGCTTCAGATAAGTCCCTCTCTTTATTTTGGATTTTGCCTGTTTCCTACAAAATGTAAATGTGTACAAAAGTCACCAGTAGGCCAGTTTTAAGCCTCTTCTTCACTAATCCCTGATCTCTCTCTATTTTTTTAAACAAAATCTTGATGTTAAAAAATGTTGTTGCAAACAGTCAAAGTCTCCACTGGCCTTTCCTTTCCCTGTGGTTTTGTTACAGTCCATCGCATAGGAAATAATGTTTAGCTGCAGCATTGTTTACTGGGACTATTTAAGCCAACATTTTTCTTTTTAGGCATTTATATCATGCTTGCAACTGTAATATCCGAGCACCATATAATTCCTTAAAGAAATGCACAGGTTCTTCTTTCCCCAGCTGCAGAGATTTTTTACTGGTTTTGTTTTTGTTCGGTCATGGTTCAGAATGCTAACAGCAGCAGCAAAAATGTTCCTGTACCAAGGGGACTGGGCTAGGCAATGGAGCTGCTGGATGGCATGATAATTGTGGCTGACTCAGACAAGTATGACACAGAGGTAGTTGTGTATGTGTGTGCATCCCAGAATAAGTAGTTCAAGCAGCAGCATCAGGCTATAGCGACGTAGGAGCACCAGGGAAAAGACAGAACATTTCTTTACTCCATCAAGCTGCACCCTTGTTGAGTAACCATATAGATGTCCCCATGTACATCTTCCCAACCTCCTCCCTTCTATCTTGTTAAGCCCTTGTAAGATCATGTCTGATATTAGCATGTGAGCTCATTAGGGAACACACATCATGGTCTTTTTACCTGTATTGTGAGGCACCCAGCAGACTTTTGAGCACTGTAAGAAATAATTATAATGATATAAAGAAGGTGAAGAGTTCCAGTGTAGATTTACTGCTCAGTGACCCAAGATTTTCCAACACCCCCACTTCTATTAAAAGGAAATTTCTGACTCAGTTTAGTGAACAGACATGGAAGCCTCCTGCCGCCACATTTTCACTGTTACCCGTAACAAATTGCAAGTGCGCACCCACCCTAGATTTGAGCAATGTCCGTGGATATTTAGTTGATTTATGAGGTGCAGATGTTACAAAAATCTCAGTAATAACAGGCGAGTCACAGTTTCTGGTTCAAAATCTTAGTACTCCTGCTCTTTTTGTTTCAAAGTACTGTTTCAAAACCAGCAATATGCCCAAGTCTTGGACTGACTAGCTAGCACTGATAAACAAGAGGCCTTCCATATTTAGAAAATGAAAAAGAAAGGGGAAAAATTACTGATTAGAACAGCAATGATATTTCTTTTGTATTACCATTTAATCTAAGCAGTGAATGATCAGGGACTAGATTCTTACTGAAATCAGTGACTATTGTCTGTGATCCTAGTGTCCATCAAATAGAACGCCTAAGTGATACATGAGCATATTAAAATAACTAATTATTTGCTAATCCAATTTAAATTCATTTCAGTTCATCATTGTGATTAGTAATTCATTAGCCAGGAAAAAATGTGAAGTGGGGAAGCAATTGCTACTTACATACCAAAGAAATGAAAAAGAAACTGCAATCAAGGAGATTTAATATGCTTGCAATCAAAGGCAAACACAAGTTAAACCTTTCTGGTACAGAGAAAAGGGTGATCTTTGTGGCATAAGAAAAAAAATCCAGCATAACAAATGTGCAGCACTTTAATGTTAGATTGACCATGATTGGAACTGTTCACAAGTAGCGTGGACAATCTAAATTGTACTTCATTGTCTAAGTAAGTATGAGATAACCATGAGGATAATTTAGAAAACACATCACCAAAACTTGGGCTGCGGAAGGAAAAATGGGAGCATCTTTGGAAGGTAAAAGTGGGAGTTTGAGTGACCTCTAGTTTAATATTTTGAGACAAACAGAAAGACGTGAGGGCCATTACGCATCCTTCACAGCCTATATACACCAGTTGTAAGAATATTTACCTGAACAGATATTTACATTTTTTTAAAATATTCTTAAAAAAGTAATATTTGCTTGATCTATGACACAATGAACTTCTCTACAAGGAAACTTACAATAGGCATAATAAAATATTCAAGAAGTCATAAAAGATAACACTAGCGCAGTGGTCTGGCCTACTAAAAGACGTTTAGGATGAGTGCAATGTATGGATACAGCTTTGTTCTAGAAAGGAGTTGTGCATATTTAAAAGTACTTACAAAGTTGATCTCCTCCTTTCCTTACACGTGTATGTTTCCTCACTAGATGAGTAGAGAACCATGAGCACCAGGCATTTCTAAATGAAGGGATGTCCATGTTTTAATGATGGGATAATGTCTTCTAACCTTTATGGCTCATAAGAGAAAATATGTAGGTTTCATCCTATCGATGTTAAAGGGCAATTTAAAGGATTTCATATCTAATGAATTCATAGGATTCATTGCCTTTTTTCCGTCTGTCCAAACAGATTTATACCAATCATTAGAGAACTAAGATGGTTATAAAGTACTTGATGTCTACAGCCAGCCTAAAATGCAACTCTTTCAGTAAAAGCTAATGCTTAAAGCAATGTTATCAGTGTTACTCTGTGCCCTTCCAATTTAAAATCCTTTTTTATGAGGAGGGTGACAAACAGTTATGTTAGAAAATAGTTACTGCACCTTTAAGTATCACTGTATATATTCAACAACTGTTTTCGTATAAACTTTGGGCAGTCAAGGTCATGCTAGAGCATAGTTGTACTTTCATGTAATTCAAAAGGCCAACTGCTATGATGTAACGATGCCGTCCCTAGAAAAGGGAGTTTGCACTAATATCAAGATTACATTTTCAAAGCAGTGTGTGGGATTTAGCTGCTCATTTCTTACTGTTTTTAATAGTACTTGTCTGGCTTGCACCACTTTGAAAAGTTATCCATAACTACACTTGTCCTGATTATTTCATGATGGTGAACACTGAAAGCTACTAAATGGAACTGGAGAAAAGCTTTTTATATGTCTATAAAAGTGCAAATGGATGTTTATTTTTATGGGAAATCAACTTAACTTTCTCACTGCCAGCTGTTGCATTCTGGGGTAATTTATATGGTTTTTACATGAATCCCATTGTTCATGACTAAATGGTAATTGAAGATAAAGAAGTGTAATATAAATGGGAGGAAAAAGGCAACACAAAAATAATCTTTTCCAGAATCTTTGACAAGAGACATGTACATTAAGACTACAATTATAATGGGTGAATGCTTTGTTAAAAATACGTTACTGAAACTGGTGGAGATGGAGTTGGATATGTAGCCATTGTTTTATGAAGAACCAAGTCACTTCAGTGTTGGTAAATTGCTAATGAGGGAAATGAATAATTTCTAGAAATGTTTCTGCCTACATTGGGAACAAGCCCGGCTATTATGCTATCTGGCAGGCAGGAAATGATTTTTCACACTATGTCCTATCTGACTTGAGTCACATGGTACTGAAGGAAGAGTGCTTTATCTCCTGATAGGATAGATTCTGCATATCTGACTACCAGTGTTTTCTGGCTTTCAAAGTCACCTTCCCATCCCCAATTTTTCCACTAAGAAGTTTCTCAAATACAATCAGACGATGTTCTTTATACACCCTGGAAGGGGTGATACTACTGCATTCCTTTCGGTATTCCAATAGCAAAAGAGAGAAAAGAAAAAAAAAAAAAAAAGAGAACTGACCGTAGATACTTCTGTCATGTTTGGGTCTGAAATTACATCAAAGAATTCTCCTAACACCATCCCTCAAAGGAAACGGATCATTTTCCATTAAATTTCTCACCTAGATGTCTGCATTTTGAAAACTGCTCTCTGTGATTTATTTTTCTTACTACAAAGGTCAGTTTTAAATGTGTTTTTACTGCTTACGTGTTTAGGCAATGTTAAGGGTAGTATAACCAGGGCCCTACAGTCAGAAGTACAGGTGATTTGAAGTTAGACTGGCTGAAAGAAAACTGATGACTTCAACATAACTTAGAGACTCATCAGTACTGAAACTCAGAAGCTGTTTTGTTCTACAGAATCATCAAGTTACGCAGCTTATTCAATACCTCGGTGGAGAAATGATTCTCTTTCCAGGTATACATTCTTTTCATAAGCCAAGCCGTAAATCATACTTCCAAAAAATATCCCAACACAACCCAATTTCTATTAGCAGAGCATACCTTATACTATAAAACTTGCAAGTAGACCAGTGTTGCACCATGAAGCTTATACAGTTTTTTTCCCCAGTGTAAAAATATACAATGCTACTGCCTATTTGTTGCAGTGTAAGGTCCAATCAGTACTTGTCTGCTGCAGGCTCTACTTTTGTGCCCTTTCATACTTCTCCAACCCAGACCACCGTGTTACCCCTCCTGATACCTGAAACCTCACAGTGTAATGTGTTTTGTCTCCCATTAATAACAAACAGTGAATTCTTAGCTGGTGTAATAAGATACTGTCCAAATAATCCACTGTCTTTCATAATTCTGTTGTAGCTGCTCCAGGGCCAGTCTTTGGACATGATAGGCTCCTTTAAATTCTTCAGTACATTCATTTTCCCTGTTGACAGCTCTACAAAAAGCACATCGGTTTGCAAATGTGACGTAGCATATATATAGTACTGATTGCCTTCAGTGAAAGAGGGTTGAAATGTCAGATCAGATACATGTACATTTGTTTGTAAGTCATAAATCAACTTGATTTCCCCTTGGATGGTTATTGCCTGGACTTTAATCCTGCCACTGTCTTCAGCTGCACTGACCAAATAGCGTCCATCAGGGGAAATATAGGGCGTACCCGATATGTCACTGTTAGGGCCAATCACAGAATCTGTAACACTGTCAATAATGAGCTGGGGAGGTGCTATTATTGATGAATTTTTTTTACATTGGACAAAGAAGTAGCCGCCCAAATGGGTATAAGCCATGCTCTGTGGTTTGCAGCTATAGTTTCTGAAGCTGATAGTCTTGATGTGGGTCACAGTTTCCAGGTCAATTTTGTGAACTGCAGATTTCGATTTGTTAAAGATGAACCCAAATCTGAAATATAAAACATGACACTGGCATCATCTCTGGAGCTGTGGCAACAGGCTTGAGAGAATACTGAAATCAGCAGAACTCGCAGACTCCAGTTGTTTTCTATTGTGCGTAATAATGTTCACTTTTCTCTATGAAACCGCTAACCGCTAATTCTTCTGTTATGTGCTCAAAAAAACCCCCTACGTTTTTGGTTAACATGTCATTACGATCTAGGGACATGACCCCACAAGCCGTTATACATGCAAGAATTCCTGGCTCGCATGAACAGTCCCATCAACACCAGTAATCGACCATGGGAACGGTGTGCAGGATTGGGCACTTTATGTGTTATGCTTGAGTTACAAATTCTTCTGATGCGATATAATTCAATGTGTATTTCAGATGTTTTATAGCTCCAAATCACAACTCCTTAACTAAAACTTATTTTGGACCTAATCCTAAAGAGGGGAGAGGATGCAAAGAAAACTTCAAGGCATCTTTGTGCCCTTTGATTTTGGGCCAGTCCCTTAGCATAAGTTAGAGCCATCTGAGAGGAGCTCTAATTTACAGGTGCTGCCATGGTCCCAGGGGACCATTATGGCAGCTGGGGCTGCTGCGGTGCACGCAGTCTGTGCCATGCCCTCACACCATCTGCTGGGAGGATGGGTGGCTTAGGAACTTATTGGTGGATCCCCTCAAAACAGCACCACTGCAGTGGAAATTGGGGGTCTTTGTTTTCAGTTTTGAGAGAACAGAAAATAAAATGAATACCAAATAAAATGTTCTATAAAAGCAACAAGCTGCAGCGCATTTGACCTTTGTTGACCAGAGAAAAAGGTCAGCAAGAGCCAGGCAATGTTTCTACTTAATTTGAAAGGAAGACAGTAAAAACGGCACCTTTTGTGTTCCCTAGGATGCCGGTATTCACTTGCGCGAGTGAAAATTAATTTTACATGGAATATCTTTTCATCCATTCAATACAGAAAGAAGGAAATTAAGTGAGATGTTTGGCTGGTCTTTGAAAGATTATGAAATGTGACAAGAGACTTGTTTTCACACAGTTAAAATATATATTTTGCTTCAATCAGTGGGTTTATTTCTTTAAACTTAAGCAGCATGTCAGTGAGACACTCAGCAGTGATTTCACTGCTGAGGAATTAGCCAATGTACTGTATGATCCCTTGAAAATCACTGAGCTTAGCCTTAAATTTTCCCATTATGCTCAGATCCTTTAGAAACATCACTTAAAACAGCTTCAGGAAAGATTAACATGGCACTAGGTGTGGAGGAAATAGGAGATGACACCAGTGTTTCTCCTGAATGAGCACGCTTGGACTACTCAAAAAAAAAAAAAGCCTTCCTTTACAGCATTTCTTTCAAGACTCCCTTAATACTTGGCCAAGTGCCTGAATAAGAGAAAACCCAGGCTTTTATCATAAACTTTAATTTGAAAAAGTGGGTCAGACTGTGCATTATGTGCACAGAGCTGCTGAAGAGGTCCTATGCCTGTGTGAAATCTGTGCTCTGAAATCTCAGTGAAAAAACTTGCTCTTAGTATTCTTTTAATGGACAGCCATCGAGTCTGTAGGGCAGCCGGGGAACTAACCCCGCCTCCAAAAGGGATGTTACTCACCCTGGGCACTAACTGTAGTTCTTCAAAGATGTGCTCCCCATAGGGGCTCCACTTCTGGTGCATGTGCACCCCAAGTGCCTTTAATTGGAAATTTTTATTATCAATGTCCGTTCAGCCGACACGTGAGGATATCAGCAGCATGTGTGATATCCTCACACATGCTGCTGATAGCCTCACGCCTTGCACTGAGGCTATATCAGGTTGCACGGGCAAACTGCCCCTCAGTTCCTTTTTCACCACTGAGCCTCAGAAGGAAACTCCAAAGCATGGGGAAGGAAGGTGAGTAATGGAGCAGTATTCCCATAACAAGGAGGGAACTTCAGACTCGTGTCCAGCACAGAGGAAAAAAGTGCATTGCCAGCTGTTGCATCGGCGCTAGAGGCATTGACAAAGGCATATGTACTGAAGACCTTGTAGCAGCTCTTCAGCTCTCACATACTGGACATTTTTAAGTAGAGCCATAGATGTATGTAGATTGTGACCTCATCAAGCAAATGGCGAGAACCCTTCAATAGTGGTATGAAAAGCTCTTAAGGCATCCAAATGAACCTTGAGAGAAATAAGTAATAGTCCTGTTTCCTTTAGCGACAGCATATATTCCAGAACAACCAGACGTAAGGCAAATTTGGGGGTAGCATTTTGGAATTCACCACAGTGACTAAACGTTCTCCATTTTTGAAGGTAAGTATTTCTGGATCTTTCCTATTTTTTAAATAGTATCTGTTGTAACTCTGCAGAACAGACTGACTCTAACCCTGCACATCATTGAGGAGCCATGCCTTTAGGTGGAGAATGCTCACATTGGGAATGTAGCAGACCGCTGGCATCCTGGGAGAGGAGCTGAAGAGGGATTAGAAGATATATCGCTGGACAAAGAGCAAGGGGAAACCATGCCTACCTTGACCATGTTGGGGCTATTAGGATAACTCTTTTGTTCACCACTTTGAGAATCAGAGGCATCGGGGGAACCACATAAAACAGCTTCTTCATCCAAGTGAAGAGGAAGCCCCTCCTCTCCCCCAAGGAATTGAGACCTAACTCCTCCCAATTAACAGAATACACCTCTACCCCGATATAACGCTGTCCTCGGGAGCCAAAAAATCTTACCACGTTATAGGTGAAACCGCGTTATATCGAACTTGCTTTGATCCACCGGACTGCGCAGCCCCGCCCCCCTGGAGCGCTGCTTTACCGCGTTATATCTGAATTCGTGTACCGGGTCACGTTATATCGGGGTAGAGGTGTAGTTGGCATTTTTTGTTCGTAGCGGTGGTGAAGAGATCAATTTCTGAAAATCCCCAAGTCTGAACTAAACCAGCAATAACTTGGGAATCCAACTCCCCTTTCTAGTCTTGGGAAAAAACACCTGCTAAGAGTGTTGACTGTGATATTTTGCCTGCCTGGGAAATAGGTTGCTGAAATTCTTATGGTATGTTTTATGCTCCAATTCCATAACCTTCATGCTTTGGTGCAGAGGGAAGGAGATCTCACTTCTCCCCGCCAATTGATATAGAATATGCAAGCAGCATTGTCTGTCATGACTTTGGTAGACCTGTCTGAGGAGAGGCAGAAAATGAAGGGAGACATTTCTGACTGCTCTGACTCTAACAAGTTGATATGGAGGGCTGTTTCTTGGGGTGACCATCTGGGGGTGGTCTCAGAGTGAACATGTATTGTTAGAGCATTGAGGTGCACCCCCCATTCTGACAGAGATGCATCCGTGGTTATGGTTAATGAACCTTCCACCAGTCCAGGTAGCAATTAACCTGTTGAGGAACTGACACTGGTTTGGCAAGAAAGCTGATCTGAGCCACCCCTAGAAACAGCGAAGGCATAATCTTGCATGTTCAGTCACAAAAATGCAAGCTGCTATGTGATCTAGAACCTTGTAGGGTTGCCAACCCTCCCAGTTTGGCCGGGAGTCTCCTGAAATAATCTCAATCTCCCGGAGGATACTGAAGCCAATCCGGGAGATTTTAGGCTGCTAAAAGTCTGGCGGCACAGTGGGGCTAAGGCAGGCTCCCTATTTGCCCTGGCTCCGCGCCGCTCCCAGAAACGGCCAGCATGTCCCTGCGGCCACTAGGCGAAGGTGCGGCCAGGGGGTCTCCGTGCGCTGCCCCCGACTCTGCTGCTTCCATCAGCCGGGAACGGGGAACCGTGGCCAATGGGAGCTGTGGGGGCGGTGCCAGGAGGCAGGGGCAGCACACAGAGCTGCCTGGCTGCCCCTGAGCCTAGAGCCACTGCCGGACATGCCACCACTTCCGAGAGCCACCCGAGGTAAGCACCGCCAGGCCAGAGCCTGCACTCCTCACCCCCTCCTGCACCACAACCTCCTGCCCTGAGCGCCTTCCTGCACCCAAACTCCCTCCCAAAGCCTGCACCCCAACCCCCTCCCATACCCGAACTCCCTCCCAGAGCCTGCACTCTGCATCCCAACCCCGTGCCCCAGCCCTGAGCCTCCTCCTGCACCCAAACTCCCGCCCTGAGCCCACACCCCTGCCCTAGCTGTGAGCCCCCTCCTGCACCCAAACTCCCTTCCTGAGCCTGCACTCCCTCCTGCACCCCAACCCTCTGTCCTGGGCTCAGCCTGGAGCCCCCTCCCACAGCCAAACTCCCTCCCAGAGCCCACATCCCCTCCCACACTCCAACCCTTTGCCCCAGCCCTGAGCCCCCTCACAATCCCAAACTCCCTCCCGGAGCCTGCACCCCAATCCCCTGCCCTAGACTCAGCCCGGAGCCCCCACCCACACCCCCTCCTGCACCTCAACCCCCTGCCCCAGCCTGGTGAAAGTGAGTGAGGGTGAGGGAGAGCAAGTGATGGAGGGGGGGGCAGGGCCTTGGGGAAGGGGTGGGCCAGGGCAAGGGTGTTTGGGTTTGTGCGATTAGACAGTTGGCAACCCTACCTAGAAGTTGAAGACTGTTTCTGACTGAAGTCTGGGGGCTCCCTTGAATAATTCTCACACAGTATGACAGTGTCATGATGTCCATGGGAAGGAAGGCCCTGGATGCCAAGGATGCAAAGGGGCCTAGAGTTCCCTTGGGACTGATGGGGAGGTCTCCTGACCTGTCTCCAAAGTGAGGCAAAGAGAGCACTCCATCATTAATAGTCACAGCTTGATTTCCTGGTCCTTCCATGGCTTGGATTTGAGGGCTAAACAAGACGTTACACTTAAGTGGGACATGTGACTTTCCCAGGCAACAAACACACGTAAAGTGTCCGTTGCGACTGGGATAGCCTCTTTACACACAAGGCAACATTTAAACCCCGGTGAACCGGGCATGCCCTATGCAGGGAGGCTTTCCCCAGAGGAAATAACACAGTCTTTCAATAACCAGTAACTAACTACTTCTACTTACTAACAAACTAAGTAAAAAGAACTCAGCAAGCAGCCGAGGCAAGCCCGATGCGGATGCACTAAGCGTTGTCTCAGGACGACGCAGGAACTGAGGGCAGTTCACTTGCACAGCCTGATATAGCCTCAGTGTGAGACACGCAGGTATCAGCAGCATGTGCTTGGGCCAAATGGACACTGCTAATGAAAATCTCCGATCAAAGGTGCGTGGGGCACATGCACATCTGACAAGGAGCATCCATAAGGACACTACTTGAAGAACGGCTAGATATTTATCTGAATTAACAGCCAGTTGAACGTGTCAAATTACTGTTTGTTTCCGCGAGCAGAACTATTTACATTGGGTCAAAGCCTGCACATAGTCACACCAATGTCACTGATAGTGTGGCAGTCATCAGTAGAGCCCCAATCCAGCAACTAACTTTAAGTTAAGCATGTGTTTAAGTGCTTTGTTGGACTGGGGTCTAAAAAGCAGAATATGGCACACAACTAGCTTAACTGAGCTATATTGGCTACATAAAATGATTAGTAGTTGCGCTATAACATGGTAGCAATATAATCAGTTACTATGTATTGATTTCAACAGTTAACATGCAGTGGTCACATTAGGAAATAATGCATATTATTTTGAGTTAAGTTTGTTAGCTAAATTGTAATTCCCTTGGAAATAATTGTAATCACAATACACGGTATTCTTTTTTTTTTTTAAATGCATGCAC